GTCTTAAGCCTTGGGGACAGGGTAGTATGTTACTAAGATGAACATCATTCCTTCATATACATAGATAGTGGCCTTTATTAGTTAAACAGGAATTTTGAGAGAGATAACAGATCTGTTGATCTGGGTATCTAGGGATTATTCACTGTGTTAACGGCAGGTAACCTCTACCTAAGAAGTGATATTATTGTAAGACATAGAAGTTCACCAGGTGAACAGATAGGAGATTGTTCTAGTTAGCAGAGAGTTATGTGAAGTTTCAGAATTCAGAGAGGTGAAGGATTTAGGTTCTCTGCCATTGGTTTGTGTCTCCTCCTGTCCTCCAAATTAGAGGAGTGGCTCTCTCTAACCCATTCTTTCTCCTAGGACCAGAGTTTCCTTTGTGGAAGGCTTCTTGAAAGCTGAAGGGCAAACAGAGGGCACTAGAAGTTCCAGGGAGGCTGTCTGGAAAGAAGACGTGTCTGGATTTCCCAGACTATGCCTATCTCACTGGTCTGGGGAATCTCTCCTGGGTTTTGGTGTGTGTGGTGCTTGTGATGTCTGAAGGGTTTTTCCATGTCCATATTGGTAGGAAATGTTAGTTACAGTGCAAGTTTTCTCCATCCCCAAGTCCCTGGCCTGTTCTCAAGTTCCTGCTCCCAGGCATATGTGGACCAGGATATGAGACTATCATGCTTTTAAAATTCCCTCTAGATCAAGAATAAAGACTGTGCAGACTTCTGGCCAAGAGGATCTCCTTTAAATAATGGGCTTTGTGAATGCTTGGCAGGGGGCAGGCAGTTAACGCACACTGGTTGCCCTTCTGTTTGGTTCTTGTACATCACATTCATTTCACTAGGGGGTATATTTAAAAAGGAGTGAACGAATGTATCTTAATCTCAAATGCTTTTTCATTCTAAAGATGAATAATTCTTTCATAATACAGTATGAAAACAACTTTGCTTAGGGTAATGTTTAAATTCTGAGTATTAATAACACTGTTCAATTTTGGTTATTTCATATAACTCATTTTTTCTTGAGATTAATTTATGGTAACCCATAATTGGCTACTTTTTATTCTTTTATTCTTGAATATGACTTTTGGTCTGTTATTACTCACTGATACATGGATAGAATATATAAAGGAAAATTGAGAAATGATTTAAATTTCCATCATTTTTCTGCTGCTGTTGATTCTTATTCCTTGACAACCAGGAGCCCTGATTTCTGCATTAAGAAATGCAAAGTGTTGCTGGGCATGGTGACACAGCCTTTCATCCAAGCACTTGGGAGATAGAGGCAGGAGGATCTCTGTGACACTGAAGCAAGCCTGGTCTATATAGCAAGTTCCAGGCTAGCTGGTCCTACAGGGAGACCCTGTCTCAAAGAAACAAACAAATAAAAATGCAAAGTTTAAATGAAATTTAAAATGGCATAAATGGATGCCTGATAAGCATATCATATTAGCATTATTGTGCATAATTCATATCAAAGTGATTTAAAATTATTCTTTATAATTGAGAATTCATTATGTCTAATAATGAACTTTTCCTGGACATTGTCACAAACTCCTCTTACTGACCCACCCTGACCTGCTGTAAGGTGTGTGTTTCTGCACAGTAAGAGAAAAGGCAGGTGGGAAGAGGAAGGGATGCAGGGTGGAACTGTGGTGTTGCTCATACACTTGCCGTGAGAAGCTGAGCCAGTTATTCCTCCAGAAAGAAAAGCGGTAGCCGGAAAATAGTCTTTACCAAACTGATTTTTAGATACATGAAATTTAAGTTGGTCGTCAATAATTATCATTTAATATTCAGAGATTTTTAGTGAAACAAATTATTCTTGCACCTCTTTCCAAATCTTCATGTTTATTCGTGTTGAGAGAAATTATATTTTCAGTAGGTCCCTGTCCTGGATGGTCGCATTAAAGAAAAGATTAAGTTTATTTTTAATTATGTGTGTGTTGATGTGTGGGTGTGTGCACATGTGAGTACAGGTACCCACAGAGTACAGAAGAGGGTGACCGATTCCTTGGACCTGGAGTTTTAAGCCATTGTGAACCACTGCATGTAGATATTGGGAACTAAACTCTGTCCTCTCAAAGAGCAGCAAGTGCGCTTAGTGGCTGATCCATCTCTTCAGCTCCTCCTCCCCTTTTTTTCTGTTTTTCATCCTTTGCTCTCATTTTTATGGGCAGTTGCCTTTAGTTGGTAAAAAAGTAAAAAAAAAAAAAAAACAACCAAAACTTCACATTGGTGAACTGAAATTAGAATAATTGCATTTGCTGATATTTCTTTTATAACATTTTTGTTGGAACTATGTTGTATTAGTTGCTTTTTGTCGCTATGATAAAATACTATGACCAAAGGCGATTTATAGAAGGAAATGTTTATTTACAGTTCCAGAGAGAGAATGTGTGATGGTGGGGAGACAGGGCAGTACATGGCCAGAGCAGGAAGCTCACAAGTCATGTGTCAACCAGAAACAGGAAGCAGAGGCTGAACTGGAAGTGGGGTGAGGCTATGAACTCTCCAAGCCCAGCCCTAGTGAGAGACTTCCTGCAGCAAGGCTGCACATCTTGAAGGTTCCATATCCATCCCACACAGTGCCACCAACTGGGGCCATGCATTCAACTAACTGGGCCTGTGCGGGACATTCCTCATTGAAACCACTACATAGGTACATTGCAGAAGAATCCAATACGCGATTCTTTCTTCCAAAAGCTTTATGCACACTTTGTAGGACCTCTTGGGTATAAGTTGTACATGTTAATCATAGCTCTTGTTTTGTAATATTTTCTCCTCATTAGTCTGTGTATGGCCTGCTCTTATGTAGTGGTTTCATGGTTATTTTAATACTTACAAACCTAACACCTAGAGCAAGAATCAAGATCTCGATGATAATCTGTCTAACCAAATGCTTCCCCTCCATTTCTCTGGGTTCCTCTGTCTTAAGGAAATAATTTTTGGAATCCAGCATTCAGTAGCTCACTGCTTTATGTTTTTAAATCATACTCACACATTTTTACCTATAAATATTTTAAAGACTTCTATTTTAAAGAGTGTCATACTGGATATAATCTCTGATATATTTTTCTCTCTTATCATCAGTACCAACCTGCTCTGTGTCATATGTTATGGCGATATTTTGTTCATTTTGACTTCTTTGTAGATCACAAGTGGGAAGATTCTCTCTCTGTATTATCCAATCTGCCTTTTGGACTGTTAGCTTATATGTAGGCATTTATAGTTGTCAGTAGCTGTATAGACAACAGTGTAGGTGCCTCCTGTTTTTATCTCTGAGAGAGTCTTTAGGTTGATGGGACATGTAACATACACATTTTCAGGTTTTGGAGGTGGTGCCAGACTGTTTTCTGTAGCAATTGCACTAGTTTGTGTTGAGACCAACAGTGTGTAAGAGACTGTGTCTCTGTATCTTCTCCAGCACTTGGCTTGTCAGACTTACACTTTTGTTACTTTACATGGATATAAAGTGATATTTTACTATAGCCTTTTATTCGTTTATTTTTTTATTATTTTTATTTTATGTGTGAGTATATTGTCTGCTTGTGTGTAAGTGCACCTGGGTCGTGCAATGCCTGTGGAAGTCAGAAGAGGGATTCAGACCCCCTGAAACTGGAGTTAAGATGGTTGTTAGCTGCCACGTGAGGGCTGGGAATTGAACCCGGGTCCTCTGCAAGAGCAGTCAGTGCTCTTAGCTGCTGAGCCGTCTCTGCAGTCCAAGCCTTTTTATTCTTTACTATACATACTTGTTTCCTTTTTTTGAAATGCTTATTCATCAATTTTGTCCGTGTTTTCCTCAGATGTTTGCATTAATTATTTTCCAGGAATTTTTCATATGTTCCTAAGTTAACCTTTTGTTGGGTGTATGTTTTTGAATATATATTCTGTTTATAACTTGGTCTTTTTCTTTTATGGAATTGTGTGTGTGTATGTGTGTGTTATATGTATTCACGTGGCTGTGTGCATGTGTGCAGGTGTGCCTGGGTGTGAAGTCCAGCGGTAATATCAGGTGTCTTCTTTCATTGCTCTTGGCGTTATTTTAATTAAAAAAAATCCCATTTGTTAGTGTGTGTGTGTGTGTGTGTGTGTGTGTGTGTGTGTGCGTAAAATGTGTGTGGGACATTGCACATGCAACAGTGCACATGTGGAGCTCAGAGGAAAACTATGGAGTTGGTACTGTCCTTACACCTTTATATGGTTCTCAGGATTGAACTTGGGCTGTTAGGCTTGTATCATTGGGCAGAAAACACTTTCACCTGCTGCTCCATCTAACCAGCCCATCCACCTTATTTTTTTTTGAGACAGAGTCCCTCACTGAACCTGTACAAATTCAGTGACTCTGACCAGTGAGCTCCAGGGATCCACCTGTCTTTGTTTCTCTTTGCTGAGATTGCAAGCATAAGCCACCATCCCTGGCTTTTCTTTTATTGTATCTTCGTTTATCTCTTATGGTCCATAATTTTATGTGACTTAATTAATCCTTTTCTTACCCAGAATCTAAAAAACATTTACCCACATTTCCCATTGACATATTTAATGGCTTACCTTGTAAACAGTTAAGATGTCAATCCCTTTAGAGTTGAATTTTATGGTTTGGGTTAAGAATACTTCATATATTCTTTTTCATAAAAAATCATTTAAAAATCTTTATTTAGCTCAGCAATGTCTTCTTACTCCAGTGTGTCACTTATCAACAAACTTTTCTAAGTGCATTGGTCTCTTATTTCTGGACGTTTTATTTGTACTGTTCAGTTTCTATCTCTGTTTCTTTGTCTCTCTGTCCCTGTCTCTGTGTCTCTATTTCTCTGTGTGTGCTCAGGCATTATGGTGTAATGGCAGGAAGGAGGATCAGGAATTCAAGGTCAGCATCAGCCATATAGTAAATTGGATGCCAACCTTGTCTACATGAGAACCAGTATACTTTCCCCTGAAAAGAAGCAACGTTGAGCTTTAGACCAATGTATGCATATCTAGATTTGAAATGCTTGTTTTTTTTCCCACTAGGTTTTGGACATAGTAAAATCAAGTATCCGCACGGTTCTTCCACGCATCTGGAAGGTCCCCGATGCTGAGGAAGTAAGTTTATATCGAATGTTCAACCGGGTTTTTAACCGCTTACTCTGGAGTCACGGCCAAGGACTATGGAGTTGTTTCTGTGATTCAGGGTGAGCTTGAAGTCATTTTGTTGTCATTTTTCATATTTTATTAAATATTTTAATTCTTCACTACTTATGCAGGTAGACCAATGAAATGATTGTATAGCTAACGATCATTTAAAATATGGATTTTTTTAACTGCATATGATTGTTAGTACTCAAGTATAATTTATATCAATTAAGCTGATTTGAATAAGATGATTAATAGGAACAACACCGTGTAACTAATTTTAATTTAGTGGAGAGAAGATAGTCTTAATTAACGAAAAATTTTCAATTACCAGCAATATCCTGAAGGTTTTCTGTTCTCCTTCATACATCTGGATTCTAAAATCATGACTGTATTCTTTTAAAATGCTTTATGTATGATTTTTATTTTGAGTATATGGGTGTATTGCTTGTATGTGTGTAAGTGCACATGTGTTGTGCAGTACCCATGGAGGTCAGAAGAGAGTGTGGATTCCCCTGGAACTGGAGTTATGGATGGTTGTTAGCTGCCGTGTAGGTGCTGGAAGCCAAACCCAGGTCCTCTGCAGGAACAGCCAGTGTCTTAACCTCTGGACATCTCTCCAGCCCCATGACTGTGTTCTTGAATCTCTTCAGAATCTGTGTCCCAGAAGCTGCCGGGGACCCCATGTCATTTCTTCCTTGTGATGTCACAAACCAAACTTCCCTTCTCGTGATCAGACATTGACTTCTTGTCTGGTCTTCCTGTTCTAATCGCACAGGCTTGATATTTCTGAGGCATCTGCACCTACCTTCCTTTCCAGCTGCTGTCTTGATTCAGTCATTTGCTGACTCCCACAAGCCTTCCTGTCACACTCCTGCCTTGGCTACTCTAGATTGCTTTTTCATTCGCTCTTCCAGTAATTGTCATGTTCTTTCAAAAGTGTAGGATAAAAATTTTCCTAAGGACAGATCCTGCCCTTAGGAAGCATAACATAGAAAATAATTTACTACTTATTTTGTGCTTAATTACATTACATGTGTTAAGCAATTTAATCCTTACCACTTTGAGGCAGAGTCTATATTATCTCCAACCTCTTTGTAAGGAAAGAGATGCAAATAGCTGCTAAGGACCTAGAGGAAGAGGGATTTGAACTCAGACCTGACCCCTGGATTCATGCTCTTAACCAATAAACTTAAAAAGAATATATTTTATTTGGGGCTGGAGAGATGGCTCAGTGGTTAAGAACACTGGCTGTTTTTGCAGAGGGCCTGAGTTCATTTTATGTGTATGAGTGTATTGCCTTCATGTGTGTAAGTGCACCCGTGTTGTGCAATGCCTGCAAAAGTCAGGCAAGGGCATCAGATTCCCCTGGAACTGGAGCTATGGAGATTATTAGACTCCATATGGGTGCTAGGATTTGAACCTGGGTCCTCTGCAAGAGCAGTCAGTGCTCTTAACTGCTGAGCCATCTCTCCAGCCCCTTAACCAATAAGCTTTAAGGTCTCTAGTAGGCAAAGTATTATACAAACAAAAGTGTTCATTATAAAGGAGGTGTGGAGGAAATATGATGGAATTTCAGAAAAGAGGAGCTTGAAAGAAAGGCGGCGTGAAATGAAAAGATTTTTCAGGGGCTAAGAAGACAGCTCAGCGGGTGAAGTACCTGCTGTACAAACACGATGACCTGGCACACGTGTGAAAAATCAGGTGTGGTGGCACACCCTGTCGCTGGGGATGCCAGGACAGGAGGATCCCCAGAGCTCACTGGCCAGCCCGGCTAGTCAATCCATGAACTCAGGTTGAGTGTGAGTCCTTGTGTCAAGTGGTAAGGTGCAGAACAATCAAGGAAGACAGTGACATTGACCTCTGCACAGACACAGACACACACACAGACACACACAGACACAGACACACACAGACACAGACACAGACACAGACACACACACAGACACACACAGACACAGACACACACAGACACAGACACACACAGACACAGACACACACAGACACAGACACACACAGACACAGACACACACAGACACAGACACAGACACAGACACACACACAGACACAGACACACAGACACAGACACACACACAGACACAGACACACAGACACAGACAGACACACACAAACACAGACACAGACACACACACACAGACACACAGAGACACACACAGACACAGACACAGACACACATAGACACACACAAACACAGACACAGACACACACACAGACACAGACAGACACACAGACACACAGACACACACAGACACAGACACACACACAGACACAGACACACACACACGCACAGACACACACACACACAGACACACACACAGACACACACACACACACACCATCTAACTAACTAAAGAGTCCAGGGCCGTCTTGCTCCCAGTATTTTGTTTTCCTTATTCATCATATTGTTAGGTCCTTGACTAAAATCTAGGGATTTCCCCCTTTTGTCATCAGAGTCTAAACTTGTCTACAGACTCAAGGGTGTCCCGTACACCAATCCTTCAGTACTCCCTCGTCACTCTCCTGCTTGGACTGCGTACCAGAACAAACTCACCATGTTTCAAAATCCTAAACTCTCTCCTTTCTGCATATTTTGACTTCGATGTGAAGACCCAGACCAGGTTGATCTTTGTGGTCAGAGCTTAACAGGCCATTCTGCTCTGCAGTGATCTCTGTGTGCATTGGCATAGTGTAGCCGCCTGACACTGCTCATTCATGCCATTTGCAGACACACCACCCCGTGTTTTTGTCTCAGCGACCATTCACAAACAGACGGAGAAATGAGTTATTTCTACAGAGTGAAACAGAACTCTGCCTCCAGGGATGGCTCTCTGTCATGTTTCTATATCTGAACTCATTTTATTTGGTTTGTTTGTTGATCCTCCGGCTAAGTGGATCTCTCTAGCATGGATGACTATGAGACAGTCTGTTACTTAAACTGGTACTGGATAATGTCTAATGCCAACATCTAACAACAGATGTCAGGTGATGTCCCCACAGGGTTTCTATGCCCTGAACTGTTTTGCTAACATGTCCTAGCTTGGTTGAGAGTCCTTCTCCCCTAATACTGCCCTCAAATTTCCCTAGTGGTTTCTTTTCCTACTGACATCAGTGGTAAGTGACACTGAAATCTTACTAAGCATATGATACTTTTTCATACTAAATATTCATAGAGTCTTCACAAAATATTTTGAGTAAATTATTATCTCCATTTGTCAGATGAGGAAACTAAATACACAGAACATGTAACGTGTCCAAGTTCACATAGAAATTGGGTCAGCCTGTATTTAACCACAGAGTCCGATTCGCTCTTAACGCAGTACCTTGTGGCCTGTCCCCAGGCACATTTCCGGCATTCATCAGCATGGTTTACTTCAAGTCCCCAGCATTAGACAAACTCCTAGCCAGTTATGACTGAGCAGGTGGAGCAGGAGTAGATCAGTAGGTCATTCAATTTCTTTCAAGTTGGCGGCTTGCAGATGAGTTTAGCCTTGGGTTCTTAAGGCTTCTTCAACGTGAGGAAGTCACATGATAGTGCTTGGGCTAGATTCTCAGTTTGGATCCAGCACAGTTCTACTGCGTCTTCAGAATCCTGTGAGGTCCATATGTCTTCCTTTAGCAGTCAGTCTAACAGCTAAGAAGTCAAGGTGAAAAGTCTAGTTTTCTCACTTCTCAAGGAACAGTTTATATAAAAGCTTTTAAAAAATCTTTCTCAGTTATGTGTATAGTCTCAGAAAAACATAATTTAAAAATTCTAGGCAAACTCTACTCCTGTCCCTATTAACATGCCCAAGAACTAAACAAAATAAGTAAGCCATTTCTTAGTTATCTCCAGAGACAGTGTAGAGTATTATAAATCTTCCTGGTAGGCTTTCCAGGGTTTTTGCTGATGCATCAGACATCAACTCTCTCTTCCCTCTTCTTCAAGGCTGATGCCTATGTCTAAGAACCCTTTGGTTACGTGCAGTTCCCCTAGGAAGTTTTTCTAAAAGGGATTCTTTTTTCCAAGATTTATTGTATTTTTTAAGAGGAGAGAGAGAGAGAGAGAGAGAGAGAGAGAGAGAGAGAGAGAGAGAGAGACTATTTGTCAGTTTGTACATTTGAGTACAGGTACCTGTGGAAGCCAGAAGAGGGTGCCTGATCCCTTGAAGCCTGCCTGATGTTGGTTCTAGGATCTGTTGTGAGCTGCATGATGTGGGTTCTAGGAAATGAACTTAGGTCCTCTGGAAGACCAGGAAGTACTCTTAACCCTCTTAACCACTGAGGCATCTATTAATGCCCCGCCTCCAGCATCTTTATGGCCCACATTCTTAATGTGGTTGGTCTCTTGAAGACAATGGCTCTTGTAATTCTTTTGAATAAGGTTATCTGCCATGTTTTCCTGGGCTAAATTAAATTAAATTAAATTAAATTTCTATGGGCTCAAAGTCAGCTTCAAGAGCTCAGGAAGGGGAATGTAAAGTAATATTTTAGTTGAGCTCCTCCTAGGGAGAATAGGTGTTGGCCGCATAAAGCAAAGAGAAGCAGACAGCAGCTGTGAGCCAGGAGGGTGCCTCTCTCTTTCTGTGTTCAGAGCACCACATAAGACAATCTGGTCTAGAACCTTTAGCCAAAAACGCTTTTCTATTGGACTTTGTTGTCTGGAAACTTTTTAATTTTTTTTTATGATCTTAGTGCAGAAACAAACTTTAGGGGACATTTTAAGGCACTGTGGTCTGATTTTTAGGGTTTGAACTATGCATATTTAAGAAATATATGCATGAAATGTGGTTACAGATGTCCTTCCTCACATCACCCTCGGTCGGATGCATTCATGGTAGGACTTGAGCTCCTGAGTGTTCTTTCTGGTGATTGACTGATTGTCCAGCTTTCTTTAAACTCTTCTTTCTCCTTTCTGGCCACTTAATGATCACTTAGAATTTTCTTCAGGAGTAGAAAGGAACGAATCATTTTCACTCTTTAGATCAATGTTTTATTAAAAGTTTTTATGAGAAAGGAGGTGAAATTACTGGATTATTGCATAATATGGGGACTTCTTAAGTCTTTGGATTCCATCAACTCCTTTCTGTTGTGAGACCTAGTCAATATTTTATATCTTGTCATTATGTCACTGCAATGTCATGTGAAGCCATTTCCTGTATATTTCTCCGAGGATTAGGGAAAAACCCTAAAGCACGTTTAATCATTTAATTTTTCTTTTGAATTAAATGTTGGTGCTTGTATTTCCTTAGAATTTAGATTCAGAATGCCAGCCAGTGAAATACTAGTTTCTTTGATAAAAAGCACTGGTATTTTTAGCTCTTCTTACCTCTTTTCACTTTTGCAAAGAACTTTGTGCTTTTCCTTTGTGCAGATAATGGAATAGCACAGGCACATTTCCTATCTGCCTTGTGGTGCCTGGTGATGTCTGGAGGAGGGGTGCAGTGCTGAGAGTTTCAAGCATGGGTTTCTCTTGTGTAGAGGGGGCTCTGGTAGCCTCTAAGCAGAAGGCTCTGGTCTTATTCATGTTCTTTTCTTAATAGGGGTTTTGTTATGCTGACACCAGAATATGACTTGACAGACTAGAGTGAAGTATTTTACCTGTGGCATTGAATGTATTCACAAGAAATAAATGTAGATGGGATATTAATGCATATATTTATCTTGACAGTTTGAGAAGTTGAAACTCCTTCGGTCATAGACAGGAGTTGGCAGACCATCCTGTTGGTGACTCACATCGCATATTATTTAGAAAGTTGCATCAAATTAGAATGTTGAAAAGTCTTTTATCTTCCATTTTATTTCTTCCTTTTATACCTCTAAACCCAAGAAAAATGGCCTTGATGCCAGTGAACTGATAATAGATTTAATCAAATGGTTTCAAAGTCTAAAAAATTCAATATACTCCATTCACAGTGGAGGGTGGTGAGGGAGATGGGCTTCCATTGCATGCTCAGAATCTCAGCAGAGAGATAAGTCCTACCAGGCAGTCAAAACATAGGACATTTACATGTACACAGACTTTATATCTCTCAACACACACTTTTAGGCTTGCTAGATTAGAGTATTAAATACAAACATATAACCTAATTTTTTTCTCAATGGTGTCCTTGGTTCAATTAGGTAAGTTGATTTTTATGTCTATATATATATATATATATATTA